AAATTCAACATTAATGCTCATTTGCTAAAAGCAATAAAGTTCATCAGTTTGAAGATGAACTATCTTGTTAACACTCTTGTTATGAATAAGTCATGCTACCAATATAACAATGGCTAATGTTGTCCTGTGAACAGTTCTAATGCTAGCTTAGTATTGCTGGCAAAGCTGTTTTGTTGATGCAGTACAGCATTCTTGGTGATGGTAAAGGCAAAATGTGGGTAGATCGAGTGAGGTAGGCGGACAACCAATGGTCTAACAAGTTGTCGCAGATCATACAGTTGATTGACCATCCACACTGGAGACTGTTAAAAATCAACTCTTGTGTTTTTGTGTCATTTCTCGTTGCTACCAACGGGTGTGTCCAGCTGGAGTTTTTTTTTTTTTCACAGGGAGGTGTAGATGTCCTGTGGTGTATATCGAGGCGTAGAAAAATGGAGCTCTGTTGTGCACAGAGGAAATGGGCGTTTGCCTTGGAAAGTTTGGATGGAGTGAGTGGGAAGAGAAAAGGGGCGTGGCAAGACCAGAAAAGAGAGGACCACCTACTGGACACAAAATCACTGCACAGAAGCTGATCCTGAGGTCTGGTTCAGAGCAAGAGCAATAATTCGGGTAAGGAGGGACATTTTTTCACTAGATCTTTTTAGACCTTTTTTATAAAATGTTGTTTGTATAACTTGATGGCACACTGAGTTTAAAAAAAATTTAATTTTATGGGCACGACTTTTATAGTAAAAAGCTATGTCATTAAAATCCCAATGACGTGTGTTTCACCTTAAATCAACTTTTAACATTCATTTAGGTTTCCTGTAGTTTTATTTTTTACAATAAAGCCTGTTTCATGACATTACACTGTTTCTGTCCATTTTAGACAAATTATTACCTTCCATTCCTTCTCCTTTGATGGATGAAATTAGTGTAATGACATAATTTCTCCCACCACCCACTCAGAGGGGCCTCTCCTATGATAAAGATCTGCAGAAACAGTTTAATCCAGTCTGAATTTTTTTTCTTGTATTTTCTCAGCCTTTTTTTTTTTTTTGCAAATAAAATTAAAGTTATCCATGTCCAGGTTTTAATCAAGCCCAAATATACTGTCAGTGCACACAGAGGGGTGAACTGGGTAAATATTTTGGCCTCATTTAGAGTTCTATGGCTCCACCACAGGTTGGCCAACTCATACTCAACTCAGATTGAAATCACAGCAAAGAGTGATTGCACTGTTTCCTACATGGCCCCGCAAAACATCTCGACGTTCATCTCTTCACAGTTTCCAGTTTATGTTTTTTTTTCCAAAACAGGAAAGTCCCCAACCACTGACATTCACTGCAGAACTAACAGGCACACGAACTTGGTCACACATGTGCATGCCGAGTAGCATGCCGAATGCATTTCTCTGGTTGTCATCGTTAAAACTATGCTGTTTTCAGACGAAAACAAAATGGCCTTCCTACTCATGTTTGTGACTCTGCTGCATCTCATCACCTTGGCCATGCTGTTCATCTCTACCATGGAGAAGGTATGGCGCAGTGGCAATGTGTTTTGATGAACTAAGTTTTGTAAAAACCCACCCAATCTTTTCATTCAAAGTCCTGGTGGGTGTGGGACGGGATGGAGAATTCGGATCTGTGGTACAACTGTAGGTATGACAACTTTTCAGGAACTTGGTTGTGCGCATCCTCCAAAGAAAGTGGTAACTACACCTATTTTCTTGACCTTGTTAATTAAAAAAAAAAACATTTTGAGGGAAAAAAAATGTTTGTGTCTCTCAGAGTGGCTTCACGCAGTTCAGGTTTTGATGGTGCTCTCAGTGGTCTTCTCCTCAGTTTCCTTCCTGATCTTCCTGGGTCAACTTTTCACCATGTCCAAGGGCGGACTTTTTTACTTTACTGGACTGTGTCAAGTGTTTGCAGGTAAATGTACAAGGATTACTTATTTCTTTGGACAAAACAGGCATCCATTTCGAATGCTGCCGTGAGCCACATGCACCAAGTGGACAGCAATGAGAAATATTTGCGTGAAAACAGCAACCACTGACCCCAGTGCTCAAGAAGGCGTCTTTGTATATGTAATGTAAATGTTGTCTATGATAATACTTGCTTGCGGTTGTCGCCATTCAAGACAGGATCGGCAGTGTTACGCAAATGTATGGAGCAAAGTAAGTGCTGTCTTGTCTGTAAGGTACCCCCCACCCCCACAGACCCCCTCCATGCCTCTCACCCATGGCATTATGCAGGCACACCTTTTTTTTTCAGGGGTTGAGGAGCAGGACTGGGGCTGGAGCTTTAAAAGGACTCAGATGGGCAGGGGCGGTGGACGATTATTATATGAATAAGGATGAAGGGACAATGACGGAATGGTACCCCGGTCGCGGACGGAAGACGGAGGACGGACTGGCAAAAATAGAGTAAAGTGGCCATCTCTGCTGAGCAGTAGATTAAAATGTAAACGATGACATTTCTCATGACCACTAGATAGCACTGTATGTGCCGTATACCAAAAATATTTTCATTCAGTGGCTTCAAGACATGAAAATCAATCTACAAGTAAAGTTTGAGAAATTTGGGGAGCATCTTATGAAGTGAAACTTAAAATTTGATGGCCCACTCTTGTTATTCAGGATTTCCAAAACTCCAGATTTTTTTTCCCCTGTTGTCGTCCCAGGTCTTGAGTTGTACGGCCCAAGTTCAAAATCAATCTGGTTAACCCTCTACGACCTGTGTCAAACTCAAGGCCCTGGCCTGCCACTTCATTTTATGTGGCCCGTGAAAGCAAATCAAAGACAGCGACAACGATGTGTTTGACACCCCTCCTCTCGGACAAGGAGACAAACGTATGAGTCCTGTGAATATGCAAAAATGGACCAAAAAATGCTCATAGCTCACTTCTTAGCTCACTTCTTTTGAAAGTTTGAAGCCCAAAAGAAACATAATTTGCTGTTTGTCTTCATTCAGGACTGACAGCCTTGTCTGCTGTACTAATCTACACATTACACAACAAGGAAATCCTTCAAGACAGCAGAGAAGTGACTTCAGGACACTTTGGCTACTGCTTCATCCTAGCCTGGGTGTGTGTGCCTCTCCTGCTGTGCAGTGGCATCATTTATGTCCACTTGCGCAAGAAAGAGTGAACACGCAAAGCAACACACTGTCAACGAAAATGGAAAATGTAGATAGATTGGTCACAAATGTTCATTTGTATTCAATTCAATTCAAAGTTTTTGCTTTTTGTGCTTTGGTAAATGGAATTTTGTTTCTGCTACGTAAATACAATTATTACCCAAAGAGTCGATTTTGTTACATTACATTTTGTCATGATTAAAGCTAAGGCTTGAAATGCTTTTTTTTTCCATGAATGATTTCCGTTGATGCACAGATAGCAATTTGCAAAAATCTAGTATGTAGCACACACTTTAGAAAGATGCATGCAGATATTTATTTTTGTACCTGTAGAATTGTTAATGTAGTAATAAATGTCATTCAAAGAAAATATGTATAAGCTTGTGTTACCAATTACATCCTAAAAAAAATGTCTGAAATAAATATAAAATAAGGTCACAAACCACATTTTGATGTAATCACAAGAACTGCAACACATTATAATAACTTGTGGTGATCCATAAGGTAGGGACAAGGTAACAATATTGAACAGTTTTTACTGGCTTCTGATTTCAAAACTAGTTATTCAGCTAATTTTTGTGTATATTTCTGGCATCGAGCCGTAACCTTCTGTGACAATTTGACACCGCCACTGAATGGAAACTGATTCCACGCTGCCCGCTCACATGTCCGGCGTGAGTACGTCTCCACCACGTGTCAAACTCAAGGCCTGGGGGCCAGACCCGGGCCGTCTGGTCAATTTAGGTGGCCCATGAAAGCAAATCACGTGTGTCAACTTGCTAAGATTGGTACCAAAATGTCAAATTGTCATGTGTAATAAACAACATTGAGATTTGGCAATAATTTTGTTACCCTGTTTACCCTCACTTGAACAATAATTGAACAAACTATTTGAATCGACTTGACTGATTTCAAAACTAGTAATCTATTAATTTATTGTGTGATAATTTTTTGGGTTTCACTGTCATAACGCCCCCCCGAGGGAAGACGTAACTCCAAATTGGCGCGCGACTAAAATCAGTTCGACACCCCTGGTCTACACCATTAGGGACTTGCAAATTTTTTGATTTCATTTTTTTTACAAATCTATAGCATTGGTCAATCCACACGTTTGGATGTTATTTTTACAAATTCAATAACTTAAAGTGTTAAAAATCTTTTTGACGACGCAATGTGTTGCTGTTTTGGGGCTCTTGAAAGTGTAAGCTTTTGTTGAATTGTTAATTATTGTCATTTTATATTGAAGCATTATATTCTTTTATGTTAGTTACTTTAATTATATTCTGTTTAATACTTCCTGAAATATTCTTATGTTGCTTACATGTGATTGGTGAAGAAAAGCAGGAAGGAGGGGTCGTTACCGGAAGGGGGAGTGTTCGTTGGAGAGTTAGGAGGCAGCCGTTGGGAAAATAAAAAAAAAGAGAAGAGCTGTGTTCAAACGAAGTCGTCCTCTGCTTTTTGTCCATTCTAAACGTAGAGCAAATCCATCTAAAACCTACGAACCCCTCGACTTACAAAAGTGATGATTTTGGAGCTAGGACGCTTCCGCCCAACGCCTAATATTATGTGATAAGACAGGACGTTTATTTGGGTTTACGGTTGTATTATAATTAGTAGTAGTAGTAGCAGTAGCAGTAGATAGTAATAGTAGCGGTTGCAATACAACAAGAATTTAAAAAAAAACTCGCAGTAGTAGTACACCAGTAGCACAGGCAACCGTAGTAGTAGAAGTCGTTGGAAGAAAAAAGAGAAATGTTGTATTGAGAGAAATGTTCAGGCAGCCAGTGACATTCGAAAGTGTGTTGGGGGAGTGTTGATCGTTACCATGACGACCACGGTCAATGCGCCCACTGGTGGCCTGTTCAAATACACAACAAAGAACCCGCGTCGTGTTATGACGTCACACGCGTGAGAGCGTTGTGCATTCGCTGAAACAGACACACTGAAACAAACTCGCATCATAAAAAAACAAAACAAAAAAAAAAAATCTAACATTTCATTTCTATAATTCATTTTTGAAAATTTGGTTTGAACTCGGGGATCTCCAAACGTTCGGAGTGCGCCGTGTTGTTGGGGTCCCAAACAAATCATGGAGTCCAAAGTGCAAGACGTCCTACCGTCGACCGAGATCATCCCCCTCGCCTTGCCCAAAGGAACCGAAAAGGTGTGCGAACTGTGTCAGAAACGAGCATATTTGCAGTGCGCCAGGTGTCGAGTCACCTACTACTGGTAAGACCAGCATCTCCTGACATCATCACAATTCGAATACAGCACAGGCAGTCGTGAAAAAGTGTCCGAAGGCGATACAGTACTTGAATACAAGAATCTTGACAGACAATTCCTTTGGTTGAAGTCACGTTGTAGAATACTACTTGACTAAAAGTATCATCTGCTGTACTTGGGTATCAATAGTACTTCAATGGTATGATTGTTCTGCTGTTTGCTTCCAGCTCAGGCTTCGAATTGTAAAATAAGTAACGGGTAACGAACATGGAAAGAGACGTCCACCGGAGTAAAAGTAAAACATTTTAATTAGAAACTATAGTGGGATAAAAGGTAACGTTTTTTTAAAAAATATATAATTAACAACATGATTGAGAGATCCGGGATTTTTTTCCTTCAGTGCATTAAATAAGCAATGTACTCGGTGACGTTACAAGACTGACTACAGGAGGCGAACCAAGATTTTGACGCTAGGTGGCAGTGTTGTCCACGTAGATATCCTCACGTCATGTGACTGTCACTGCCAGAAAACAACTGGAAATTAAATTAGCACTTTTTTTTGTGATTCATGTGACTGCTTGCCTGGTTGCGATTTCTGCTGGTCGACAACACAGCCGAAGGAAATAGTTTGACCAATAAAAAATAAATTTGAGCATGTCAACCAATGTGAGGTCACAGTAAATCCGAAAAGGGGGTCGCTTTTGTAGTTGGTCAGACTTTCACAATATTTCAATTCTACAAGTGTTATGAAAAGCTCAAAACATTTCATCTTCGAACCAAGACATAATCGTAATTCGTTCCATTATTGCATCATATTCCTTTCGAAGCGTTACTGTGGCCCTGTAGAGGAATTTATAAAAACTCAAATGACCTCTCTTTTTTTAATCGTTCCCCACCCCAGGCTACACATCGTCAGTTGTTGTGATACCCTCCACGGGGCAAACTTAACCCTTCAATGGGCAAGGTCGCTCTTACTCCCACCTGTATTCCAAGTTCAATACTTGTACTTATTGTGTGCCACAAACAGTTTGTGCTCCTGTGTCGACTGCCATGTTGAGTCAAACGCAGAGGTCACATTTCATGTCTGTGTGGGTACATGAAAAATAAAGATTTGTAGAAGTGAGGAGTCGAATGTGCTGTACACATCTCAGATTTTCAAATGTAAAGTCATCAGAAAACACTCAAGTAAAGTCCAGGGATTTGAAAAATGATTTATTACTAATGTCAAGAATACTTGGCTGGAGGTCACCAGAGTCATCAGAACCAGTGGGCAGGATGCTGTCAGTCTGTTTGTGAATACTTCCATCCATCCACCCATCCATTTTATGATCCGCTTCATCCTCACAAGGGTCGCGGGGTGTGCTGGAGCCTATCCCAGCCTTCTTCGGGTAGTAGGCGGGGGACACCCTGAACTGGTTGGCAGCCAATCGCAGGGCACACATCGGTAAACAACCATCTGCGCTAACACCGAGGGACAATTTGGAGTGTTCAATCAGCCTGCCATGCATGTTTTTGGAATGTGGGAGGAAGCCGGAGTACCCGGAGAAAACCCACGCAGGCACAAGGAGAACATGCAAACTCCACACGGGAAGGCCGGAGCCGGGATCGAACCCACGACCTCTGCACTGTGAGGTCGACGCGCTAACCATTGGACCACCGGGCCGCCTTTTGTGAATACTTATAATCTATAATTTAAAACATGCCTTAAATGTTTGTATGCGTGTGTGTGTGTGTGTGTGTGTGTGTGTGTGTGTGTGTGTGTGTGTGTGTGTGTGTGTGAGAACGCGAGCACAGTTTAGTGAGGTCACTCCGCCACACTCAAACGCACACAGTGGACAGCGATGAAATGCTTTATAGTTAAGCATTGTTTTTTTTTATATTTAGCTTGGAAATTTCAGAGCTGCAATTACTTTTTCATGTGACATGTGCCTCCAGCTTGTCCGTTTCCTAAACTTTCAGTCCCTATTTTTTGAACCAAATGAAGGTTCTATGCTGATGAAGTACAGCAGTATCACAGATGGATGACACCTGCACGGTCTTGGGCGCGATGTCAACAAATGCTGCTTTTGCAAAGATAGTATTCAGTTTTGACTATAGGACTGTTATGGGTGATCAGTATTTCCTGTTGTAATAGTAGTTTGTTGTGGTTTACAACTGTGCTGCCACATTTTGACATTTCCCATCGTCTGATTACCTTGAAAGGTGAACTCTTTGAGCTAATTCTCAGTTTTGGATCGCAGTTCGACCCTATTAAGAATTGTTTGAGTCACAGTATAACTGATTATCTTTGTTTGGGCAGATAAAGAGTTACTTTGCGTTGCGACGTGGCCAAAATATTTTTTGCCTGGAGGCTTCTTCTTCTGTCTGCCAGAAACCGCAGCCCATGTGGAAAGAAACACAAGACGCCAAGCAAGACTGGTTGCAGCAGCCTGAAGAAAATTACAGCAGCCGTTTGGAAAAAGCATACAATTTAGTATGATGATACATCTGAAAATGACTTTGTGACTCATACCTAGGGACTCTTGAAGATACATATGCAAAATTGACTTTTTAATAAGTCGTGTACAAATAGTTGGGTCTCCCATCAAGTGTGAAATTAAATAGCTAAGCTAATGTGTTGTTCTCAGCCCATTTCCGAAAACGTGTACAGTCGTAAGTTAGCAACATTGCAGCTGCATCGTTTTGTGAACAGCTTGGTCTGCACTCTGTATTAGCTTGCGTGTCCTATCTCCAAGCTCCACCCCGGTTGTCATGAGAGCAAATTTTGTACTTTTGCTTGCTTGGATGACACAGGATTAAAATATTGGTTCATTTCATTGAGAAATAGGGTGTGTAAAGTGTCCTGTAATTCTTGATCCTTGGGTTAATCTGACAAAAATATGTTATTAATAAAACGCCTGGGGGATGTAGGGGGAATCTCCTTTCGATGGACACAGCAGTGATCAGGTCAGACTGCACCTGGTATCACTTCGTTTGAAGAGAATTAGAGGCTACGGGTGTGCAGATGATGTGCTGGTGATCAGAGGAAAATGATTGACACCTTGTCGGTTACGCCTTCTGATTACGTTAGGTTGTTTTTCCTCAGGCATGGTGGTTTGTAAAACAACAACAACTCCAACTGGAAATTCAGCTTTTAAGATGATCCTTGAGTCATGCTGGAAAAACCTTAACCTGCGGGTCTTCTCCCCTGCTTTTCTTTCACCCGGCAGCGATGCGGAGCACCAGCATTCTGACTGGATCGGCATCCACAAGAGGATTTGCCAGTTGCTCATCCCCATTCGCACCCCGTCGTTATTTAGTATGCAGCGTGCCGGCCGCATTGAAAATCTACTCAAAACGGTAAGTCCATAAAATGCACCCTGGAATGACTTCTGACGGCAAGTAAAGTAGCCTATTACATTCCTAGGCCATGAGAGGTATAGCATTTCCTGCCAGAAATTAGTTTCCTGTTTTTCTCTATGAGCTGCAGTACTTTAAAAAAAAAAAAAAAGACTTTAAAGCATGCGCGCGCACACACACACACACACACACACACACACACACACACACACACACACACACACACTCCAGCTGGAGCTAGACAGACTAATAATGACATCATAAAATAGTTATGAATTACTGTAGAACTTGGAAAAAAAAATATTACATCGAGAAAATTATTTATCTGCTCCAAACTCAAACTCTTGCCTTCATAAAACATTTACGAACTCTTTTACGATACATGTTAACATGGTGAACATTCACACAGTTATAACTTAACTGTGTCTATAACAAATGCCTGATTTTGTAGTTATTATTGGGATTGATAAGTAGTATTATCAAATATCACACACTAAATGAATAGTATTGGTAATTGCCCAAATCACTGATTAATAAAAAAAAATCTTGTAACATTTTCGTCAATTATGTCGAGTTGGCTGTTTGAAAGTGCTCTATAAATACAGTTGAGTTGAGTTGGGTTGAGTTAACATTGACTTTATTTTCTACGTCCACTTCAGAACGCTTCTTGGTACTATTCTGAGACAGTTTTCACTCTCCCTGGATAAACTCATCGCTGCTTGACCGCTAAGAAATGATTGAATAACATTATTTTAAATCCAAACCACTGACGTGCACGCATCAGTTGGGAAGCTTTTATTTTGAAGGTGGCCGACGCCGCTCGCTGGCGGCAGGTTACCGTAATGCAGAGTACGAACACTTGCTGTCGCGGCTGGCTTGACTTCAATTTTGACCGCAGTGTTAAATCATCGGCGGCCCGGTAGTCCAGTGGTTAGCACGTCGACTTCACAGTGCAGAGGTGCCGGGTTCGAATCCAGCTCCGGCCTCCCTGTGTGGAGTTTGCATGTTCTCCCCGGGCCTGCGTGGGTTTTCTCCGGGTACTCCGGTTTCCTCCCACATTCCAAAAACATGCATGGTAGGCTGATTGAACACTCTAAATTGTCCGTAGGTGTGAGTGTGAGCATGGATGGTTGTTCGTCTCTGTGTGCCCTGCGATTGGCTGGCAACCAATTCAGGGTGTCCCCCGCCTACTGCCCGGAGACGACTGGGATAGGCTCCAGCTCCCCCCGCGACCCTAGTGAGGATCAAGCGGTTCGGAAAATGAATGAATGTTAAATCATCGTTTCCTCCGATACACCCCCTTTTTCCCGTGGTTGAATTTGGGACTTGTCGGCTAAACACAGTGAACCAGCTCAATTTTCTGTCGGAAAACCAAATTAATCCAGTTTACAATTTCTCATTTTGGTTCAAAAATAGCTTTTTTTTTTAATTTATTTTTTTTTAGTGGATTGTCTCTGCAGGCAAAATTAGAACACATACTTTATGGTTGCTTTGTCAGTCTATAATTGTACTGTACTCTTGTGTTTTTGTTTCTCTAAAAAGAAAACAGGATTTCAATACATTGGAAATAATCTGCTTGCCTTATAAATTTCTTTCACATTCAGGTATCAACCTTACGCTAAAGTTCATCAATTTTCTGCGGGCATGTTGCTTACTCTGCAAGCTTTGCAACGAGCGATAAAGAAAGAGCCTTGTAAAACGGTGACAGTAAAATTTATGGCAGCTGCCTGCCCAGTGTTTGCTCCTTTCACGACTAACTTCTAAACCGCCAGAGCTGAAGTTGAGTTGTGTCTCTCGGTCTTCAACTGTTGTACCTTTCTTGTTCATTCAATTAGAGTTCTTTGGAGTAACGCTGAATTTGGCAAAACTGCTTTCTGTTTTTCGGCAGCATCTTCCTGGAATAATCTACAACAGAAACTGTAAATAAACTCACCACAATTGTTCCCATGCACTACTTTAATAATGTGGTCACTGTTTTGCCTTTGGATCTGTTTTTAAAAGCTGCCACCTACGAAAACATGCCAGAAAAAGAAGTCCGGCGATTGATTGAAGACTAAGAAAATAAATGGTGCCTTAGCTTGGGTGCCATTGTTACTATTAGTGAATGACATTCATCTTTCAAAAAATATTCATAGATTTGACAAGTGTTTGGAATCAAGAATAAAACCACAAAACCTGTTTTAAAATAAGTATCTAGAAGAAGCAATCGTTGCCTTCCAAATCACCAAGTTTTTAACACCGCAGATTTTGATGCAGCCCAAAAACTTCAAATCAATTACGGTTACTTGTACATGCAAAATACCCCCAAAAATTAAGTTAACCTAGTCTAGTTTTCAGCGGCTAAATTATCCATTGGGGTCAATTAGAGCAGGGGTCCCCAACCGCCGGTCCGCGGACCGGTACCGGTCCGCAGGGCATTTGGTACCGGGCCGCACAGAAAGAACTTGCCTTATTTCCGTTTTATTTATTTCGGAATACGAAATATGTTTTATTTTGAAAAATTACCGGATTCTCTGTTACATCCGTCTGTGTCACGCTTGACTCACGTCAAGGCACACTTCTCGGTCACGTGACCGATGACGCTCATAAACAAAACGCTGAAGCCCGCAAAATGAGTAAAAAAGCTGCTTGGAGATCGCAAATGACGGCGGCCTTAAAAGTACGCGACTAAAACAAAATTACCGAAGTAGACTGGACATAAACCACACACTTGAGGTGTCATTGTCTCCTATTACCCCGAGATGGGACTGTCTGATTGCAGAAAATCAAGCTCGGGGCTGTGGTGAGTCGTCATTTTCATGCACTTTGAATTTGCGTTGTATCGTATTTTGAAGGCATTAAACATTACCAGAGCGATAAGAGTGTTGCGACCAGATTAGACGCTCCTTGTGTTTATTATTATATTTCGAAAACACCACAGTTTTCATGCAGCTCATACCATTTTATTTTGTTGTATTAATCCGCCACACCTTAAATGCCGGTCCCTGAAAATATTGTCTGACTTAAACCGGTCCGTGGGGCAAAAAAGGTTGGGGACCCCTGAATTAGAGTACCTCAAATGCTTGTTCGGCTACACTGTGTGTGCATTGTGAGTGTCTGGTGACCAATCAAAGGTGTACAATGCCTCTCGCCCAAAATCACCTGGAATAACCAAATGAGGACCAGCACTATTAAAAAAACAAACCAAAACAAAAAACAAAAAAAAAAAAAACGCTTTGACGACTGGATGAATTGAATTGTATCTCCTTGTGCAGAAAGAGCTGATCGAGATTTGCAGGTTGGTGGCGGAGAGCAAGCTCTCAGAGGGGAAGCATGAAGAGGCCGTGCCAGCCGCCCAGGCCTGCCTGCGCTGCTCCGTCGACGTGTACGGACCCAACACGGTCCAGCTGGTGCCAGCTTACCTGTTGCTGGCCGATGCCAACATGGGTGAGGAATGACGCACCTGCTCTTCACCATCTCTTTTGCGGCACATTTGCATTTGTGTGATTGTATCACACAGGCATGGGTAATCTGGCCCTGGTGGCCGAGCTGATGTCCCAAGCGGAGTGGGCAGTGTTGAAGAGTCCCGAATGTGGCTATGCGGTCCACCATCGGCTACACAGGAGCATGGGCTGTCTCCATACAGCCACGGGTCACTTTGAGGCGGCGCTTTTTCACTTTGCAAACGATGTGCGTGCGCCGTCACGACGAAACTCATTTGATGGGCATTTCTAATAAGGCTTTTTGTCTGATATGTTTTCAGATATATTTTGCGAGTGAGGAGTATGGTCTGGATAGCACTGTGACATGTGGGGGTTACTTCCTCATGGCCGATGTGTTTGTCAAACAGGGCGAGCCCGCTATTGTTCATTCCTTGTACAAAGAGGTGAAATGTCAACCAACACTGATGCTTTTACCAGAGTCATCAAATATTGTTCATTTTCCCGACAGTTGAACCCAAATATTTCTCCTAAGGTGGCAGAGACCTGGCACTCTCACCTGGCCAAACTCCTGCAGAGCCACATTCAAAATTTACAAAAGAATCCTGATACAACGGAGCCCGCCTTTGGTGCGTCAACGATGCTGATATGAATCAAGATAACATTTTTTTTTTTTTTTTTACTAGTGTCTTTAAATGCCACTGCAACCCACCCCTCTGAAACAGGAAAACTCTATTATTTGTTATGATTTTTTTTTTTTTTATACATTCAATTTTCTCGTCTGATTCCAATCCCTACACATTACACTGGCAACGAATATTTGCAAGTCAACATTCAACATTTCAACTGTAATGCAACCATTCAACAGTCAAATTCGGCAGATGACATCACAAGAACGACACTCCTCGTGATGAAACGGCTTCGTTGACGTATCACTGAAAAAGAAGGTCAACGGGGGGCTAAATTTAGCTGAGCTGACTTGCTGTGCAACCGGAAGGCTAAAGCTCAGCTTTACAGCACGCATGCTAAGAGACCGCCGCTGACGCATATTTGCCTGCGCGGCATCCGCACGACGAGCCTCTTTCACAGCTGCTGTCCTACATAGGATATGACACTCAGCTTGTCAGCTGGCATGCAATTTGCCTGTGGATGCTTCACACTCGAGCAGGATTTCCCAAACAGTTCTCTCTCTCTCTCCCTCTCTCCCTCTCTCTCTCTCGCATGGTGCGCAACAATACTTCAGCATGTCTTACAATGCTAAAGTGTGTCTTTATCACCCTTTAACCAGATAAAGGTCAGCAAGTGGAAGTGGGCAAGATACTCAGGTCCATTTTAGAGTTTGAGCAGGACGAAACTCGAAAGGAACCGGCTCAGGTGGCTTTGGTGGCCCATTCACTAGCCATGCTCTCCTACCTGGGTGGTGATGTTACCAGGGTGAGTCACCTGCCAAGGTCAGCGGAAGTCAACATACGACTAACTCGGTGACACAGTGCCCTATTTACCCCCTCGGCGTACTTCCTTTAGTCATCCGTCTGTGAGTGAGATTATCTGTGATTGTGAAAGCTTTCAAGATGAAGCAGGGATTTAGTGGAAGCGACACCGTGACATGCCCACTGGGTTCCACGTCTTTGAAAACAAGCCGGCTCTCTTGTGTGTAGATACAGCTCATTGATAGATTTTACATTATTTTCATCAGTGTGGTGAAGAGAGCTGCTTCTAATATTTCTTTTTATTAATTTGTTTTTTTTTTGGGGGGGGGACAGCCCATTTCCTTTTGATGGAGTTCCTTATTGACATAGATGCAAGTCTAATGAGGTCAAGAAAACATGACATGAATTCGAGAAAGTTGAATGACCTAATGTTTAGGGAACTCCAAGCGAGAATCATAAACAAATACATTTCTTGAACTCAACAGCTGAAATAAATCTGATCCACACTATTCTAATGAACTGAGATCACATTAGCTTTTGTATCGGCTTACATTAGATTGTGTCGGTGTACCGATTTACTCTTGGTATCCAGTGAGTCAGGAAGGAAATTGTCTGCTAAATGTGGTTGTTCACATTAATTTGCATGATGTCACATTATGATTGCATTATGTCACATTAAATCCCCATTAATTTGCATTATGTCACATTGTATCCCATGGAATATTTCCAACTTTAAAAATCCCAAGAATTCTTCATTGCTACCAGTAGCTGCTTTGCTTTGGCGGTGTGTACAGGGATGAGGGGGTGACCCACACTAATAGAATGTTGAACGAGGTTGTGAAAGATCATTAAAAACACAATTGAAGAAATAGCTGAATATAAGAGTGTGCCACGGGCCTCAGTCTGCCTTTTAAGTGCCTCTCATTGCACGTGTCCACTGATCTACTTTGGAAAAAAACAGGGGGCGTGCTACTGTGCTGTAATGACCACTTTTCTCCTTTCCAAGTTATAATGTGTGATGACAACTTTGGTCCTAGCGGGACTTTGGACTCCATGGTCACATTTTGTCTCCATTTGTGGGCTGCGGCGCAGGAGCTGTCATTTGAAAAGGATTATCTAGCGAAAAGTGATGCACCGGGATTGAAAATAAAACTCCCAATTTTTACTGGACACTGAATGCCCCACAGACTCTTATCTATCCATCTAGCTATCTAGCTAGCTAGTTACCTAGCTAGCTAGCTAACTGTCTAGCTAGCTAGCTAGCATGCATGCATCTATCTATTCATCCACTTCTGTGTGATTTGCCACACAACATGTACAGTAGTCATGTACAGTTAGTTAATTTCCCCTTGAGGGATTGTAATTCGCATAACAAATAAAATGGTTAAAAAAATAGATAGCTTAGTAGGACGTGTCATCTGAAGGGTAAAAACCGGGCTGATTAAAATCAGATTGCTGTAATGTTACGTAAATCAGCTTTCCCCTTTCTACAGTCACAGCTGCTGCTGCTTTTCTCTGTGTTTCTGCTGTGTGTGTGTGTGTGTGTGTGTGTGTCACAGGCTCTGGGATTTGGACAAATGGCGCTGGAAGCGAGCCAGCTGATACCAAACCATGACCTGACAGAGCCCATCCGGGCTCTGCTGCAGCTGCTGAGTAAAGACTCGCAGCTGACTTCTACCTAGGATCTACAACAGTCCCACTGAGAATTGACATTTTCAAGAGTCCCGTGATATTTGCCGCATTCATTTCGAGGTATTTTTTTTTCTCCCAAAACTGGTAGTCAGTTAATCTTTATCTTGTCTTGATTTTGGCATTCATTTGTTATTCATTTATTATTGACTTCAGGAGGATTCAAACTGAGTAGTTTCACTGTACCAAAAAAAGCAGGCATTTTTAGCATGTGTATTTTATTTGTATTGATCATAATGAGCATTTTGCTCATGTCACTGAAATTGTTGTCCACCTTGTCATTTTGGGGTAAACATCCCATTTTAGTGCCAAGCATTGTCTTTTTCTGCAGTTTGATGGTTACAGAATAAATATGTACACTTAATGTTTGATTTATGTTCATCACAATATAGATGTGTCATTGGATGTCAAACTAAACACGTCCACTGTGTCATTGTGAAATATCTAATTCGGGAATTTGAAATCAATTTATACAGTCAGCTTGCTAAATCGTGTTAATGTGTGCATGTAGCTTGTAGTTAATTTATATACATTTTTAAAAAGAGGAGGAGCTTGACCAATATGCATTTCTAACAACAAAAATGTACTTCTGATCAATATGAAGTTCAATAGAAAATCTCTTGGATGAAACCGACAGGTCTCAAGGTACTGTACCTGAAGTGATCATGAATCACATACGGTACTTTTTATATAATATAATACAATACATCCTGATTTATATAGCGCTTTCACAACAGCTGCAGCTGTAGCAAAGCACTTTACAAAACAGTTAACATAGAGTCAATAATGAACACAACACTTAACAGAAAAACACAAAAACAATATGTGAATATTGAAATAAAAGGTGTACATCAACACTGCATATTTTCAGCAGGCATTTTAATATTTGGAAATAATTGTGTTTTAACACTATTAGGGAGTGAAGTGAAAATACGAGGGACACACTTTTTTGTTTCTGAATAATGACTTGCCTTTATTTTCATCTAAAAAAACAAAACAAAAAAAAAAAAAGAAAAAGCAAGAGGGAGCTATTTACACCATTTGTTAACAACTTTTGGGAGCCTTTTGTTGAACACTTTCAGAATGATGGACAAGAAAGTAATGGTGAGGGCTTTTGCTTCTCATCTCGTACCAGTGTAGCACTTCCCAACATCAAATGACCTTTAGCTTATCTTAAATCAGTCTTTCTAGACGCTACACATCAACACAGGGCTCCAGGGTATCACCCAAGCCTGAACATTTCTACAAACAGTTCAACTCCAGACAGCTATTAATTCCTCCCAATTATTTACATGTCATCATCCGGCCACTATGTACTCCGTATTAGTACTCCATTATACAGCATGTTTTAGCATTCGGATTCATTTCAAAGGAGGCAATAAAACAATGCATTTCCTCATATTCCCTTTTAGTCTTTTTGTGTGTTTGTGCCAAATATACAGATGCATCCGTCGGAATGGAATAGTTCACCTTGTGCTCTGCAGTACGTACGCCGTGTCCTGACGTATACTTCAGCCCGAAATGATTCAAAAACTGGCCGCATTTGGAGTTCAAATACATTTGCTGGAACTGACAAAAGGAAAGTGTCTGTAAAAGGTGTCTGGACGACGTTATGCATGAACATTTTTTTTTTTCCTACGGTAATTTCAATGTTTTTCACGTTTGGAAAACATTCATGGTGATGATTGTGAGGAAGCAATGATTTGCACTATTCGAAAGGATCCGGACAACTTGTAGCTTAATTTTACGCAATGGTGTGGAACGTACCGCCAGTGGGCCAAATTACATCCGACCATTCAATTCTTAAAAAAAAAAAATCAAAATCATAGCTCCACATAAATGTAAAAAATGCCCACAATCTATTAAAAGAAATCAAGTTGATTTAAAAATTGCCCGTTCACTCGTTTGACCAAATAGTTATTTGATAAAGTCACTCAAATAAAGCGCCGGTCAGAAGCAGGCATCCAGCGATTATCAACTGGTGGCTGGGGACCCAAAAGTGGGCCACGGGCAGCTATTCTGCATAATACGTGGTACGTAATAACCACGCCACACTATCAATGTGCATCCCAAGTCGGGGTAAGCCTTTATTTGGGAAATGGCAATCACGTAGACAGGCATGTGTCTTAATTATTACTCAGGGTGTGATATGTACATGCGTTCACATTCAGTACACCGCTGTACCCAAACGGAACATGGTAACATAAATATGAGACTTCCCCAAAAAGAGATCCGTGCCAAGAAATCAGTGAAAGCTTTTAGCCATATTTTGTGGTACTGCCATATTGTACAGTATTTTGCTTTATTCATTTTTGTACATGCTACCATGATCATCCTCAGTTTCGAGTTACTTTTATGCTGTATATGCCATCAAAGGATATTTTTTTTTCAATGCATTCTCTATATTGCTGTAAACATATATACAGGGGGTTCCCAGACAGATGAGCAACACGATCTTATGAATTTTTTTTTTTTTTTTTTTAATGCGGGCAGTTTGATGGTCATTTTGAGAATTTGCCATGCAAAAGGTCATACAAGGGCCCATTCGTCACTATTCTTAAAATCTCTCAACACAGTACCGTTTGCTCATTTCCAGCGTTCAACAAATAAAAAATGAACTCGGGCCAGCCCGTGAATCATTTCGCCGTTAACTGAATTGAGATGTGGTTAACAGACTTGTCGATGAAGGATATGCAATGACATTGATGTGAACGACGCGGAACGATATGGGAAACGTTACAAATCCAAAACAAGAGAACGACAACAAGTGGAGAGAGTTGTCTCTCAATATGCGTGCTGACACTGGTGACGTGACTCGCTTCATGGATGACATCACAGTAGTGTGTGTGTGTGTGTGTGTGTGTGTGTGAGTGTGTGTGTGTGTGTGTGTGTGTGTGTGTGTGTGTGTGTGTGGGTGTTTGTCAGTGGAGGTACTGTGATTGCATTGAAAGCAGCTGGTTGGGGGGTTTGGGAGATGCTGCTTTTCCTGGTGTCCCGCGAGATGTGTCTGGTTCTTAGCTTTGGCTACAACTCCACGTACTTACTTCCGCCCACAAAATAAAAACAATAAAAAAAATTCAGGCTTCACAATTTCCCATTTTGTTTTCTTTTTACACATTAATTAGGGCACACAAACCACTTGTTTTGTTTTTTTAAAAGTAGCATAAATTATGAATAAAACAAAAAAAAAAAACCAACACAGAACAAGCAAGGGGGAAAAGTGCATGTTAATGTATCCACCACATCTTATGATACTTTTTCCTCATTGTTGCTTTTGTCATGTCTTTTTGGATAAGTCTGGTATTTGAAGGTTAGATCCAGGCTGCTTCCCTGAGTTATCAAGAAAACGCACCACAATGTCAACACTAAGGGCTACGTGAGTGGAACAAAGTCGGAATTTAATCGGCGCTGTCGTACGGCCGCTTGAATGGCAGCAATGAGCTACTGTATCAAAGTCCCTGAAATATTCCTGGGGTAAAAATCAAAAAAGTAGTTTGTGTTTTTATTTACTTTTGGGTCCCCAGCCACCAGTTGATAAATTTTTTCGTAATTGATGCCTTTTTTTAACTTCCAAAAATGTTGGAGAGAGAAACTTTTTCAACAAAAATCAAAACAATAGCAAACGAGGGAAGAACAGCAGGTGTGTGAAGTGCAGCTTCCTGCCTGATATGTGTTGTATTCCTTGTCAAAAATTATGCGTCATTCTGTGGCAGTGACAAGTCACATGTTTTGAGGTATATTTTTTCTTGTTTGGAAAAAAAAAAGAAGAAACAAATGCATCTGTTTATAATAAAGTGCGAGACAAGAGGGAATTTTCCAAACTTGGCAGACTGCTGCTGCTGGTACGGCTAATTAAAGACACTACATACAAAGAACAAAAACAAAAACAAAAAAAAAAAAACAAGAGCAAGGGTAATACTTTTAATACTTCAAGCAACATGAATATTTGTGCTAAACTGAATGCGGGTGGAAAATAAGCTTGGCCTGAGGTTGTAGTTGACAGAGCCCAAAGACATGACACGGGGGAGGGGCTGGCGGTTGGGGGCACGGATTTTATTTTGGCCATAAAATACCATCGCATTCACAACGCACTCATTTGTGGCCGCGAATAAGAATTTCGTTTCAACGCCAGCAAGGCCTTCTCTGCAGCGCAATCGGACCTACATTTACTAAATATATTTGAATATTCTTTTTATCATTTTGTAGCATTTATCTTGGCTCGACAACTTCCGGTCAGCACGGAGGTCGACTGGTTGGCACAGGGTTTGATTGCGGCTCTGGCCAACCTGTGTGGAGTTTGCATGTTCTCCCCAGGCTTGCGTGAGTTTTCTCCGGGTACTCCGGTTTCCTCCCACATTCCGAAAACATGCATGGCAGGCTGATTGAACACTCCAAATTGTCCCTCGGTGTCAGTGTGAGCGTGGATGGTTGTTCGTCTCTCTGTGCCCTCCGATTGGCTGGCAACCGGTTCAGGGTGTCCCCGGCTTACTGCCTGAAGATAGCTGGGAGAGGCTCTAGCCTGCCTGCGACCCTCGTGAGGATAAGCGGATTAGTAAATGGATGGATGGATGGATGGACTACTTGCAGTACGTGCATGTTGAATATTTTGGTTGTCCAATCAGAGTTCAGCCTCTCTGTGTTGCCATGTCAACCTTATCCACCTTCAGAATCTGTGCCGCTGACCGATGCAACTCAAACTATATTCGCAACGGGGCCGTTTGTTGAACCAATTACATTTCAAATTCAAATCACAGGGCCACCTAAGCGGCCCGTAGTCATGTCATCATCTTTTCGCCCTCAGATTGGTTTGACTAGCCAAACATGTGTACAATGATTTGCACATATTACAACATTGAATAATCAGCCTCTCATTCAAATAAAACAAGTTTTGTCATGCAATTACAGAAATAAATGAAACATGATGACGGTAGGATTAAAAGGTGGATGAAGTTGGTTCAAGCCTGTACCTCACTGAGCGGCGAAGGCTTGCTAGGCTTAACACGTCTTAAACAAGGGTGCCAATAAGTACGGAGGCTGCTGTACGTCCATATTGTGGCTACAATTGACTTTTTTTTGTTTGTTTTGTTTTCCCCCCATGTCATGTCTGGTGCTCCGTATTATTTCTCTCCACAACACTTGGAAAAGCTACAACAGTCTTCATGTCACCATATCTGACATGTCTAAGAAGGAATACCCCCCCCCCCGGCCCCCATAAAAACCGTCAGGGCTTGGGTTCACGGTTAACCCAAACTCGAAGCGTTGTTATCAGCAAGCGAAAATAGAGAGCGGACTTGAATTAGCCCTTAGGACTGAGGGGGAGTCAGGGGAGCAGCCTCAAATCTTTTGGAGGGGGTTAGTATGAGCAAGAATTTCTGTTTTCGCATTCATCCACATGTATTTCGAAAACGAACACGTGTGTGTGTGTGTGTGTGTGTGTGTGTGTGTGTGTGTGTGTGTGTGTGTGTGTGTGCGAGAGTGTGCGTTTGCTGGTGTGTGCATCTCACTCAGTCAATAGCTTGATCTCGTTGGCAAGCAGCGTGTTGAAGTTGTAGGCCGGGTCGGGGAGGACCGAGCCGGAGGCTTGGCAGGGGGGCGACTGAGACGGCTCGGCCAACTCGGGATCGCTCTCGCTGGAAGTGGAGCCCACGCTCATGTTGCACACAGCCTCCGGCAAGGAACCGCCGACAGTGGGCACGGGGCACACCTCGGGCTCGCTGCTGGTCTCGCTGGTGCTCGACACCACCGACAGCAAGGACATCTTACGGGTGAGGCGGTTGGGGAGCATGGAAAGGGCGTAGTCGGCGACAATGCCCGCCACGTCCATGCCGCACGCCTGGTCGAAGGCGATGAAACCCACGTTGGCGTTGGCCTCGCACACCACGAAGGAGCCGTTGTTGAGCTGCAGGAGGTCGATGCCGCAAACGTCCATGCCGAGGATGTTCGACACCTCGGTGGCCAGCTGCTTGCCCTGCTCGCTCAGTGGGCACATCATCCCCACGCCACCTTAATGACAGCAAACACATATTGCTGAGTTCATTCACGAGGCACCTTTACAGGTAAAGTCACTCAACTTTTCGATGCATCTGTTCACCCGGAGCTGAAAAATCACAACTTTCCGTTTCAAAGGACGTCCACTTCTATGCCTCTCAGTTGGTCTTACCGTCTCGACTGCATCTCTCTTGCAACCTGGTGAAGAGACACTCTAAGGGTTTATGTGCTCACGGCTCATTTCTTTGGCAGTCAATAGGTGACTACGTTAAGACACTGAAACAACAACTCTTTTTTTTGGAATAACCCTGATCAAGTAGCAAGTGGAGCGGGGGCGGTCCAGTGGTTAGCGCGATGACCTCGCAGTGCAGAGGTCGTGGGTTCGATCCCGGCTCGGGCCTCCCTGTGTCGAGCTTGCATGTTCTCCCTGTAAATAATAATAATCTGAGGACGAACGCTCCAAATATGTCACAGTGCATCACGACTCCAACTGTACTCAAAACTCAGCGCGCTCTCGCAGCACGAATCGCTTTGCGTAGCTCAGAGGAAGATATACCCAGCCTCTTGTGGGTACATTCAAGCCGGCCTTTGTTGCCTTTGTTTCCAAAAAAGACGTCATGGAGCAGATGGATCATCATGCTTGAAACAAGAATTGGAAAGAGGGTACGAATGTTTCAAATGAATGATGATAGTCAATAATTAGATTTGGGACTGATGCAGTCACTGAACACAATAAAACCATTGACCTCAGATCCTTATCCAACAAGCCTTAACAATCAGCAGACTTCTCCAAGTACATTTTTAACCAAATATTTAAGCTGTGGAAAAAATAATTGACTTTTACCAATTAATTCAAACACATTTGTGGCGAGGGACTTTTTCAACCCCTCTAGCGACTCCTTTTTTTAGAAAAAAAAAAGAACAAAAAACTATGATCACAACAGGTCAACAATGACGAGAGCAAGGGTAATATATATATATTTTTTTATCTGTTCCGAAAACTAACTTGACTTAACTGCATCAGTGCAAAAGGTACGGGGACATGGTTGTGTCCGCATGACACTGCTGGGAAAAAAAAAAAAAGTTCCAATTGTTCCCATATCCACTGAGAAAATACCAGAATGAAGATGATTCTACGCTATCCAAAACAATGCATTGCTAATTTTTGTTGTCGGCACTTCTAATATGAGAAGAGCATGCATGTCGGATTGGTTTCGTGGGAAGACATTGACTCTAGCCAATGCACAATGTAGAATCGCCAGCACAGGAATTGTCCAATCTCTCCCGCTTGACTTCTGCCTCTTCCCTAAGTTTGAGGAGCACCGAAATTCAGGCTGATTAGATGGAATTTGTAGCACGTGGATAACTCATGATCACAGAATGCATTGCGAACCAGCCAGCCATGAGACTTAAAACTCCTCCACTTGTGGCGGAGCTCCGCTCCAAACCCAATGGGTGCAATCTGTTGTTTTGTATCCAAGAAGCCAAAGCCTCAGGCTCGGATGCGCCGACACTATTTACAGCAGCTGTCCCGCTCGCAGATTGATAAAGTCAACAACCCGATATCTGACAACCAGCACAGATGAGATCGGGATCTTGAAAATTCTGTTCATGTGAATGATGAACAGAACCAATGAGAAGACACAAGCCCGGCAGTGCTGACCATGAACACCTGGAGATGATGCAGAGCAACGTCCAGGTCCTGACTGTACATGGACTGAATGACCTGGCAAAATAAGCCTTTGTCTCTCGAATACCTCCGACTTGGCATTGAAAAAAATTACATGGACTTGTTGGGCAAACGCCCATGGATCCGCAAAGCACACAGGGGTTAGTCGATTTTTTTTCAGGACCGGGAGAGACACAGTAATTCAGCGGTCCCCAACCTTTTTTTGCAACAAGGGCCAGTTTTATGTCAGAAAAATATTTTCAGGGACCGGCCTTGACAACAAAATACTATGATATGACTGTGGTATTTTCGAAACATAATAATAAACGCGAATCATGACACGAGGAACGTCCAATCTGGCCGCAACACTCTCTGGTCGCTATGGTCACGTTTAAACGTGCCTTCAAAATAAGATACGTAGCAAATACAAAGTGCATGCAAAATACGACTCACCATCGCCACATATTATGCAGAGTGGGCTTGGTGCGTGGGAATCTCCCGCTGAGATAAAGCCGTATTTTAAGTAGGACTCCTGACACTGTCTTATGAAATGTAGCCTTCTTTTTTTTTGAAAGTCGTAGGCTCCTCTTCTCTCGCCTCGTTGGGCCTTTTCCCCTTCCCGAAGAAATTTTCCAAAGACGCTTGTTTTTTTTTTTTTTTTTATACTCATTTTGCAAGATCCACGTGTCAAAGTCAAGGCCCGGGGGCCAGATCTGGTCCGCCACATCATTCTATGTGGGCCGCGAAAGCAAATCAAACATGTCACCTTCCATGATGCTTTCTAAAATGTCAAACAAAATTCTAAATTCTCATATGTAATAAATAAGAGCGATATTGGAAGCATTTTCTTGTTACCAAACCCCTCATGATAGTAACTTAAACAATAGTTGAATCAACAGTTATTCTTGACTCCTTTATATGGTTTCAGTCGTAACGGCCCTCCAAGGGAAACGGTAACTGAAATGTGGCCCGTGACAAAAATGAGTTTGACACCCATGTGCTAGCTCCTGGGTTTCATTTTAGCGGTAACCTATCACGTGACCGAGAAGCGCGCCTTCACCTGCGTCAAGCGTGACATACTGTGGACTGATATAACAGGGAATCCGGTCATTTTTCAAAATAAAACAACTTTCAGATTCCGAAACGAATAAAACGGAAGTTATTTATTCTTTCTGTGTAGCCCGGAACCAAATGACCCACGGACCGGTACCGGCCCGCAGCCCGGGGGTTGGGTACCCCTGCGGTAAGTCATTGTCCTTCCTGAATCCAAAAATTGACTCTGCTCGACTCACTCTTCCCATAGTAATAGACTTTACCGGGGTATCGGAGGAGTTGGCGGTCCCAAAGGAAAATCATTTTCCTCTCCGCCGTCTCAATTCGTTGCCACAGATATGACAAGGAGAGTGGAGGGTACCTTTTCGAACTGTTCTTGTGCTCTGTTGCCGGTACAGGAATATTTAGGAAGCGCTATGAAAATGCCTACCAAGGGAGCAGTTGCTCTGCATCCGTCCATCGGTGGAGCAGCGCAGCATGGAACCGATGACCCGGCCGCCCACCAGCACCACACGTACATCACGGCCATGTGACTCTTTGACATACTCCTGAAACAAGTAGGGGGTGTCATGACGGATCAGGTGGCACAGGTCTGTCAGGTGGTGCTTGTCACGTGCCAAGAACACAGCCTTGCCTGGGGAAATAGAAAAAAAAAGCAAAGGTGCAATTACTTTTTCATTCAGCGTAACCAGACCTTTGGTATTGACCCGCACGCGATTTGACTTTTGAGGAACTCTAATTGCGGTTTGATATCTTCTGCAAAGTCTTTGAGCCAAATCTGCTGAGAACGTCTTTTCTCAGTTCCTCTTCTCTAAAAAAATGGCTCGCGTGCTTTTCTAAGGGGGATAAACAAATGCTTCTCACAGAGGCAAGAAAAGTCTGTTTTAATTAGCACTTCTTCTTGCCAAGGCCTCTGACCCCCAGTACGAAAGCAAGGTCAGATCATGTGATCGTGTACTTGTGCGTGCGCGCGTGCGTATGTGCACATGGTGTCTCAGTGACGGGTCTAAATACGATGACGAGGCATTCTTTGGCAAGCACAAACTCACGGTGAAAACCATGACGCCGCAAATGTAGATAACAAGGAAAGCAAAAAAAATCACTGCACGCCGCAAATGTAGATAACAAGGAAAGCAAAAAAAAAAAATCACTGCCATGGTTTGAGGGTGAACTCACGCCCGGCAATTTGAACAGGACACAAACTCGCAAAATGTTGATATCTGCTTCCTTCATTCATTCCGTTTTTGTCATTCATGTTGGGCCCAAAATTCCATCGGAAAAGTGAAAACAAAACTAATCAACGTTGGCCTTTCGGAGAGGAGAGTTTAAAAAATAAAGACCGAGGGCGAGGAGGAAATATTCTTCACCACCGTAAGGGACATTTGACCAAATAGGCCCATAGAACGCTTTCTTTTGATAATTCGTCAGACCTGGCAGAAATCTCCCTCCCTCTCCTGTGCCCTGTCATGTGCCATCACCTCACTTCCCCTCGCAGCATTTTGAAAAAAAAAAAATAGAAAATGCACGTGTCATTAGTTATGTCACATACATTTGGAGCGTGCTTGTGCCCGTGCGTCACCGAGCGTGTCACGCTCTTTATTTTACTATGATTTTTTTTTCGATTGTGCAAGGTGGCTCTTGCTTTGAATAACTGGCAACTGGCAAGAAAGCCATCCTGTTAATTATTTGATAGCAAATCACGTCACCGCCCAGCGTGCCCGGAACATTTTTGACTGCGTTATTTGTTTAGTCACTCTGTTCATTCTTCTTTTGCACCGTGGTACTTACAGTATCACGAATAACCGAGGAGTGGAGCGAGTGCTTTTCACGGTGTGTGCGTGCGCGCATATGCCAGTGCACATTATTAGTCATATTTGTTCAGATTTATGCAAGGTGGCAGGGATAGGCCGCATTAAAGGAGCTGTATGTCGACATTGAGGGCACGCGTTGTGTGTGTGTGTGTGTGTGTGTGTGTGTGTGTGGGGGGGGGGAGCATCAGAGCACTCACATTAGATCTTTACCTTTATCTTAAATCCATCACTGTATTTTCTGAACCGCTTTATCCTCACAAGGGTCGCGGGGCATGCTGGAGCCTAGCCCCGCAGTAGGCGGGGGACACCCTGAACAACCATCCACGCTCACACTCACACCTCGGGACAATTTCAAGTGTTCAATCAGCCTGCCGTGCATGTTTTTGGAATGTGGGAGTAAACTGCAGTACCCGGGGAAAAGCCACACAGGCACGGGGAGAACATGCAAACTCCACACAGGAAGGCCGGAGCCGGGATCGAACCCACGACCTCTGCACTGTGAGGTCGACGCACTAACCACTGGACCATCGGGCAGCCCTCCATCTTAATCGTGCGAGCTAATGAATTCACATCGCAGAACATTCTGCCAATGAAGTCGATAGCAGGCGGGAAGTGAGCTGCCCGCGGCCTCCGTTAAACACGAACTTGCAAGCCCATGAAAGCGAGGCGTTGCGCGCCTTGTCTTACCTCTGTGTCCGCGCGCGTTCTTCACCACCACCGGGTAGCCCAGCGGCTCTGCCTCGTCAATCATCTTTCGAAAGTTGTCATGTCCACCTGAGACACATACGCAGACACACACACAAGCGCCACCAGATCACACAGAGGAACGCAACGTGTTAAAGGGAGCTTCATTTGATCTCTAAGTTCATCAATTGCAACTGAGTGAGCCCGCAAGGGGGGGGGGGGGAAGGAACCCGTCGCCATGGCAACAGAAGCCATCTCAAAACAGCAGCGTCACGCCGCCGCGAGATGGACGAGATTGGAAGTGAGCGGCCGTTGGAGCGGGCTAAAATCAAGTCGCCGTCATGCTTCCGCTTTCGGCGCATTTGCTCATGGCGCAAAGCTAAAACGTGTCATGATAAAATGCGTTCGGGACATCAAAAAAAAAAAAAATACAAAAGAGAATTATTAATGTTACTAAACATACTGCAGAGCCAGTGTTTAATTCTTTCCTTGTTTTCACATGGCTCACTGCTCAAATCTGGAATCCATTCAAGCGAACAGATGTGATCCACTCGGTCACATGGCTTTTTCCAGACCCACTGATTCACATGCTTTCCACCAGAGAGAGAGAGAAAGAGGAAGACAGGGAGAAAGCGGGGAGAACAAGAGGAGGGGAGGAGCAGAGGGATAGCTTATTTTGTTTTGAAAAGTCATGAGGGGACAGCGGGTCAGGCAGCAGAACTGTTACATAAGCTCTGTATCCACGCTGCATGGATTGCCTGGACTACACCGAAGAGAGACCAATGGAATGTAGGCCAAACATCAGCCTCTTTCTCTCACTCCCTTACGGCCCGAATCAGTGGTGTGCTCTTGTAAAATGTCATGTTTTCATTTGAGGGTTTTTTTTTTTTTGTACAATGAATTGTGGGGCTTGTCTTGGGTTTTTTGTGGGTTTTTTTTTTTAAGGATAAATGAATGCAAAGTAATAAAAAGGACATTTATACAGCATGATTCTGTCCATATATGAGCGGGCGTTGCCAAAGGTAAAATCTTTCATAGTTTAAAAAAAACTTTACTGATCTGTTGAAGACACGTGAGATCATCGCATGACGATGATGTCTCTCACAGGTGTGTTTGCTTCTGCAACAATGAACAAAAATACAACTCTGCAATGTCCTTGAATGACGAGTAGTGATTCTCAAGGCGCGGTACGAGGGTATTGGGTTTTATTTACACAGTGGTATGCAGTGGTATGGCCAAGTACACTTCAGCCGTATTCAAATTTTAAATACATGTGAATGATCTTTTTAATCTTTAATCATTGATCGGTTTTTATACGTTTTTTTTGCAATTTTCATTGACCTTTTATGTGCAACATAGCCTCGCTGAATTATGACTTACATACAATTTTTTCCCCCGAAATCTTCAAGTATTTTTCTGATAACATCTTGATTTTTTTTTTCTTTTCTTGTAATGTTATGAATGTGTTTCCATGTGATTTGATGTTTTTCCACGTAAAATTTTCACTTTATTCTTTTCAAAAATATATTGTAATATTGCAATTTTAGTCATGTATAAGCTCTTTCCTTTTTGATAAATAATCAGGCCTACTTCGGTCCTGCATTTTAATGCTGGTGATTATCGAGGTACTTGGAGAGCCCATTATTTCTTTCTTTCTTTATTTATATTTGCGTGTGTGTGAAGAATTTGAGAAGCTCCGGACTATTGGATGGGAGAGCGTGACTCTCTTTCGAGGTCCTATTTCAACACTCGTGTCGCAGCGAGCAGCGGAGCTGCAAAGGAAGAGGAGTAGTCTTTGTGGATGTCGCGCAACTTTTCATCCAGATTTTTCGTATTTTCTTCAAACGAGGTTGGAAACGCATGAATGGCGCCTCTGCTGGTTACGGGCACGTTGTCCACGCCATCCGTCGCTAATACAAATACACAGGAGAGTCCACATTCGAGCGGCAATGGCAATTCCCTCACATTAACAGACAAGCGCCTCGGCTGCGAAATTATAATCGCTGTTCTGTCCTGAAATGAAAATACACTTATGATTTGACTGTGTTCGTATCATCGTGCGACTGATTCTGAAAACATATGACATACATTTAAAACATGTTCCCGACAATATTACAACAAATAAAACGGTCGATGCATGGCTCACCATAGGAGAAGGTGTCAGGCAAAGGTATGCCGTGGCCGGCTAGCTCTTGAAAGGTCCAGAACTTGTTGACACAGTTGAGTATGGCCTGAGGACGGTTGATCAGCCGACAGCCCATCTTCTCCAGGTGACGCAGAACGGTGATGTCGCTGTCCGACTGCACCCACGGCGTGGGCACTCGTACCACCACCACCTGGGGATAAGATGTCACCGTTTCTTGGTCCACTTGCAGGCCTGTAGGGTCAGAGATGAGCTGGAGTCATTTGTTGAGGAAAAAGGTCCAACGTGCATTTTTTTTACAAGCGAAACTCAACACTTAAGGTTCTTCCAGTGTGGTTCGGGCCGATTAAAGAGGACATTTTTTTTTCCCTGGCCGGCACGGAAGCGCAGACATCAGTCAGCATCTGTTTTGGCTTCTCCCAGCTTGCCACGTTTAAGAAAGAGAAACGAGTTGTATAAGCGGCTGGTGAAATATTGCGGAAGCCATCATCTCCTGGTGGAAAATGTGACCTTTTCTGGCAGATGCAGTCCGGAGTCATCATCCCTGCAACTCTCGTTGCCAGTTGGCAGAGTTCAGGGCAAGGAAGCGGCACATCACGGTTACAAGGCTGGCAGTGTTAAGCTGTATGGAGCCAGTCGTGGCTGATGGTATGATTAGCTGCAGGCTGTCCTTCACCATCTTCTATCCTGTTGCGCTGGCAGATCCTTTGAGAGCGCCGGGCAGAAACGTTTTGACCGAAATCCTGACGGCATATCCGTATGTTTTCATTTGTTTGTTCAGGTCAGTGAAAGCATGCGCAGATTCAACTTGATTGTCTGGCCTAACAAGAGAGCTTGTTCACTGTGACAGCGACACACTGGACGCAGACTCTATTGTGTCACACGTCGGACTATGAAAAAAAATGTAGGCATGCATGAGGGGCGACTGTTTGGGTCAGTGTCAACAAACAAATCCCACATCATGGGGCCTTTTCGACGTCCATCGTGAATGAATTTAGACGAACGGAGCGCAACGGCATTCCGACAGATGTGAGGGAATATGATGTGACTCATCAGATGGGGGAAATCATGTGTACACACCGCTGTGTTATAATTGTCATGAGCCAACAAAATCGTTGTTGTATGGCTTGGATTAAATTCCACAAGGTTCTGGAACTCCTCTGAAGGGAAGGAGCGCATTCTTTAAAAGATATTCCCTCATGTGGTTTAAAACGACAACCATGTCTATCCTGTCTAATATCACTATTGAATGCTCCAATGTCTAAAGCAGTAATCGGACTTCACAAAAAAGGCGTATGGTTGTCGGGGAGTACAACATTTTATGACGATTGTGATTAATCATACAGGAGATCACTCCAATATGACTTTAGGATTTTATGTTTATTATGGAGGACGGCCCGGTGTTGAGTGGTTAGCGGGTTGATCTCAGTGCAGAGGTCGTGGGTTCAATCCCAGCTCCGGCCTTCCTGTGGGGGGTTTGCATGTTCTCCCTGTGTCTGAGTGGGTTTTCTCCTGGTGCTCTGGTTTCCTCTCACATTCCAAAAACATGCATGGCAGGTTGATCGAACACTCCAAATTGTCCCTAGGTGTGTGCGTGAGCATGGATGGTTGTTCCGTCTGTGTGTGCCCTGTGATTGGCTGGCAACCGGTTCAGGGTGTCCCCCGCCTACTGTCTGCCCGAAGACGGCTGGGATAGACTCCAGCAATACATTCTGATGTTTACGGTTGAATTTATGTCAACCAAATGCGGGATAAATGGGTCATATTTTGCCATATCTACTGTTGCTGACGATTGTTCTTAGTTTGAATAGTGTCACATGAACAAGTCGCTTTGAACATTTCATACAGAAAAACAAATTAAAGCATGTGTCATTTCTGCTGATATCAAATCACATTGATATCGGTATCGGACAATACCCTAGCCTTCAATATCGGTATCGTATCGGAAGTGAAAAAGTTGTATCGGGACACCCCGACAAAAAAGGAAGTGAGGTCCTTCGGATAGAACTTACCGGGGGACTTCTGAGGACATAAAATTCAGCTAGATAAGCAGTGTATGTACAAGGGTATTTTTTACGATGAGATACAATTATTTTAGTGTGCTAACCACTTTGCTTGTATAAATCTGTAAATTTACCCCTGGGGGGGATTCATCAAGGTTTATTCTATATATTATTGAGGGCAATTGTGTGTCAGAGAGTACTGAGAAGATAATAAGAAGGCAGCAGCCAGGAAAGGTCAAGGATGCTTTGTGGTCCTAACGCATGCGAAGGGGACAAGCGTTGCATGTGAAAATGTGTGTAAGCCATAAAAACAGCCCGCACCCTCCTTTTTTCCCCCCCTCCTCCTTCACAAAATCTCTGTACACAAGCAAAAGGATTCATGGTCGACTCTATTCAATCCACTCACACACTGCTCCGATTGTACTGGCACACAGAGCAATGCGAGCGGTGCTACAGTGGGAAGTGTAGAGAGGTGGTATCATCGTGTCGGACAGACGCTGTTCTGTGTTAACTGTGCTTTTTTCTATTTACAAAGGAACTGTGTCGAGACCAATGAGGCAGAGCATTGATTGAGTCTTTTTTTTTTTCATGCAAGGGATCATTTGAATGACACTGGATACTATGTGACTCCTGGGAAACATCACACGGATGCACCCATGTGATGGGCAACTTGTTTTTGAGAGGCCACGTCAAAAGTCTGGTTGTGCATTGAGCGATGGGGATGTTTTATTTTTATTTTTTTTTCTGTTGTTATGTTGATGTGGTCCACAGGACTGTACTGAGATGGTGCTCCGTTTGTAACACAAGCACCGTGTGCATTACATTGCAAGACACCAAATATCCACAAAGCCATCCCCAATATCTTTCCCTTTCATTTAGAAGGATTAAGGGAGACCAAAGTCGACACAAGAAACAGCCGTGGAATATTGCCGGTTTTCAAAGCGTGCCCTTCATAGACCAACTGGCACAATTATGATTTGACAGCTTTGGAACAAAACAGTCCACCTGTGATTAAGTCTCTGTGCGGATGGGATGAAAATTAAGGAGAAACATAATGAAATATTAATCATGTGCATTGTTGTAAAATTGCAAAAGGACTTTTGAATACTTAAGTATCATAAATTGGTTACATACCAACATACCACACAAACCGGATTAACGCAGAAGTCATCTTGAATGCTAACCATTCACTAATATACATCTAAAACATAATGTACAAACCCCATCCCAATGAAGTTGAACGTTATGTTAAACATAAATAAAATCAGAATATGATTTGCAAATCAATTAATTGATTGCACTACAAAGACAAGATATTGAATATTCGAACGGATAAACTTTATTGGGGTTTTCTCAAATAATTATTGTTCTTAACTTATAATTTTATGGCTGAAAAGCATGAAAAAAATGTTGGGACAGGTGGCAAAAGAGATGAGAAATTTGAGGAATGCTCATCAAACACCTGTTTGGAACATCCCACAGGTGAACAGGCTAACTGGGAACAGGTGGGTGCCATGTTTGGGTATTAAAGGAGCTCCACTGAATTGCTGAGGGCAAACAAGCCTCACCTCTTTGTGAACAACTGCGTGAAAAAATAGCCGAACGGTTTCAGGACAATGCAAAGGAAAAGCCGTTTATCAACAACACTCGGATTTGTCGCCGACTTCTCTGAGCCCGACGAGCTCATCGAAGATGGACTGATGCAAAGTGGACAAGTGTTCTGTGGTCTGACGAGTCCACATTTTAAATGGTGTTTCGAAATTGTCTCCTCTGGGCCAAAGGGGGAAAGAACCATCCGGATTGTTATGGAAGCAAAGTTGAAAAGCCAGCATCTGCGATGGTATGGGGCTTCGTTAGTTACTTACACATCAGTGAAGGCACCATCAATGCCAAAAAGTACAGACTATACAGAAACATATGCTGCCATCCAAGCGATCTCTTTTTCATGGGCGCCCATGCTTATTTCAGCAAGACAATGCCAAACCACATTCTGCTCGTGTTACGACAGTGTTTTTTCGTCGTAACAGAGTGCAGCCTGCCTGCAGTCCAGACCTGTCTCCCATTGAAAATGTGTGGTGCTTCTCAAAGCATAAAATACGACAATGGAGACCCCGGAATGTCGAACAGCTGAATAAGTACATCAAGTAAGAAGGGGAAAGGATTGCATTTACAAAGCTGTAAAAATTAGTGCCTTCGGTTCCCCAACAATTCATGAATGTTGTTAAAAGAAACAAGATGTAACACAGCAATAAACATGACCTTGTCACAGCTTTTTTGGAATGTGTTGCAGCCATAAAGTTCAGAGTTCATGATTATTTGATAAAAACAATGTAGTTTATCGATTTGAACATTAAATAGCCTGCCTTTGTAATGCATTTCATTAAATATCGGTTGAACATGATTTGCAAGTCATTGTATTCTGTTTTTATTTACGTTCAACACATTGCACTTTCATTGGAATTGGGTTTGTATTTTGTCTTTTTAATATTCATTCAGTACACAAACTAATCATGTAACAGGTTAATCTCGAGTTGCTCTTTCAGGCTGTTGCATGCAAAAACTTGCAGATGGCAAAAATTTCAACTAGCCACATTTTAAGAGCACTGGAACATCCCCGGGCAGAGGTTTTTTTTTTTGTTTTTTTTTTTGTGCAGAAGGTATGAACACCAACTCAAGTTGCAGTTTTCAACTATGTGACTCACAGGCAGCTGCTGGGCCTTGTTTTCATTTTCTGTTACGTATCATTTTCTGAACACTCCTGGGAGGTACTTCAGCTCCATCACGTGTGTGTGTGAGAGAGCATCAAATAACGTATACTTTCTCAGAGACAAGATACAAATGATTGGCAAACCGTTCAATTTCAATGTAGCATTGTTGTTGACCACCATTTTGTTCAGATTTCAAAATAAATTGTCCCTTGGAAAATGGAACTTCAATTAAGCAGTACCTGTGTTTTCAAACCGACATTAAAAAAAGATCGAGAGGAACTCAAGTTAAAAAAAAAATGCGCCTCCACTCGTCTAAACATGCTATTCAGTTTTGAGCCATCTCGGGAGGCTGACTTTTTCCAGGTGAAAGTGATGTCAAAGTGCCCTCCGGCTCACATTGTGAGCATCACAAATCATCATTTTTTTTCGGCTTGTTCATGTGACATTTGCAATTCAAGTGTGAGGGCACTTTGATGCCCGTTTCAGTGTCACATAAAATGTCAGCCTCCTTACGATGGCTGAT